ATATGCAACCAGATTCTGAATCTCTTTGTGCTATGACATCTTATGGAATTTGTAGATAAGGCAAATAAAGATGCTAAGTACACTAAATTACCTAGTATTTGAATATAACGCATCATATCTGATTTTATTTGTCTGAGACAACACTTCGCTCTTTGGGTAGCCATGAGAAAGCATTTCTCATGTTTTAATTTAGTCAGAAGTTATCTATTCCTCAGTAGCAGGATAAATAATTGTAATTTGAATTCCCCATATGTATTTCCATTTATATAATGTAATGATGATTGATATCAATTGTTGCATGTATTAGTCATTGTAATAGAGTTTCCTCAGAAGATGATTTTAACAGTAACTATTTTTAAAGCAGATGTCTATGGTTTTATGTGTTTATTCTTATTTATTTTTTGTTAATAGCTGCAAGAAGTCATTATAAGGTAGTGACATGCTATTCAATTGACATTCCTCTGGCAGTCATGCTGATAGTAGAACATTCCATTTTTATAAATATGAGGATATCTTGTTAGATCTAAGTGAAACTCTGGTGGATTTTACTATAGGTGATATTTTAATCTGGTAGAAACAGGTTTAGTATTTTTAAAGGCAGTTTATTTATCTCATATTCACCAGGGCAGACTTTCACTTTTTTCTTTGTTTTTTTTGTAATGTAGACACAGTTTCCCACTCAAGCATCTTTGAGCCCCCTAAAGCACAAAAAGTGTTTGCCAACTGAAGCAAGCTCTGAAGTGAGCGACAGAGGTGGTTGGGCTGGAGCACAGGCCCAGCCAGCAATGGCCAAGGAGCCCTTCTTGGAGAAAGACATTAGACTGAAATCTGTTAGAGGTCTGCTGACATTCCTTCCAGTACAAATAATATTATGATACTTCTAAAAGTCATTATTACTGAGAAGTTTAGGTTTTGTACCAATGCCTCAATTAAAAATCTTTTTTTTTGAGAATTTTTATAGCTTTTTGTAGTATCTTACTAGAGACAAAGGAGGATCTTTGACAAAAACACATTTTTACATACAGAATTTGTAAAACATGTATTTTATTTATGGTGTGGAACTGCATATAAGAAGTGGGTTTCATTAAGGTAATAACAATAAAAAGGAAGGGAAAAACATGCATGTTTAAAGCATCAGAAAGTACTAGAATAATGCTGGCACAAATGCATTATTGACAGTATTTCTTTCTAGTACTAATAAAAATACCAAAAATGTCTTTGATTTTTAATTTTTTTTAATGCAAAATACAGTGAAACATGCAAGACATCATTGTTCAAATTTTAAAATTATGTGAAATCTATTTTAAATGTATATGTTCTGTAAAAAGAAAGGACTTTGGAAGAGAGATCCATATTGGACTGTGTGAAAGTGCTCTCAGACATGTGGCCATGACTCACTACCTAATATGTCTGAAGTGGGTAAGAAGTTTTGGAGGCAGAGATGCTTGGATTTGGGATGAGGAGCTGAGGTGAAAATAGATAGTAGGAGCACAAGGTCATTGTTACGGGAACCAGTACCTGCTCAAATACCCCTTCTTTTCATGGAAGTGGCATTTTTAGCAGTCCCCTGCTGTCAGCAGGGTGACACTTACTCTTACAGTGTATTATGGGTCTTTTTAGTTACCTGTTGCAAACATGGGATTTATTAACAGCAGTTTTATAAAATGCAAATACATGGACCTAAGTACTGGTCTGACCTACCTTTCATTGCAGATCATTCAACATACTCTCTATTTGTGCTGTTTTTCACTTACCCCTAGAGATTACTTTTAACTTTTGAGCATAAATTGAAATTCATGATGTCTTACCAATGTCTTTACTTCAATTTTGAAGTAAATTGAAGTGAAATCTCTTTAAATTCAAGCTAGTCAACTTCAAGTCACAGAAATTATAGAACTAAAGAGTGCTTATGCTTTGGCACATTCACTAATCTTCAGTAAATTCAGCCTTCAGGCCCCACAAAGGAGTTGTTTTAGCATGAGACATCAAGAAAACAAGTGGTGGTGCACTGCATGGCCAGTTACAGACTTTATAGTGATGACTGTTTTCTAACATGGTGAGATCCACTCAGTCCTGTCAGTTAAGGATTGATGCTGTATGCAGCTAGAAAATCAAGAAAATCTAGAGACCAGTTATGAGAAACAAGAGATATTCTCATTTGGTTCTATAGTTAGTTGCTTCTTCATGATGTATTCTTAGTTAAACAGAAAATGAGTGTATTCCAAAAAAGTATATTGGGAGAGTATCTTCATGCTTTTAACTAAAGCTATAATAAAACTCCAGAAACTAAAAACAGGTACAAAGACCCTTATTGTTTAAAGCATCTACAACATCAGTCACCCCTAATCAGCCTTAACTCAGCTTAGATTAGAACAGGTACCTGAGCGACTGAAAGTTGACACATATGTTTCAGAACAAAAATCACAAAAGACTACTTGAGATTTGTGTCACCACTTGACAATTTTATTAATTCGAGCAGACGATGGGAGTCAGGAATTTGCTCCCAAAGAGATAAATTATCTTTAAGAAGTATCAGCCCAGCCTAGATCACTGAGTTTTATTTGTTGCTTTTATTTTATTTTTTTATCTGAACTATAATTGATCCCAAGTTACAAAATTTTTATAGTAATTACATCAAGTACTATATTTTCAATATATATCTATAGAGAGAGTTTGGGTATCTTTTTGATTTTAAGAAATACCAAATAATTAAACTTCTGGTTTGTATAATACCTGAATATGACAAACAGAAGAGAATATATACTTTTATACTCTTATATTAAGAGGGTCTTCATTGCATCTTATTCCTTCATTACATACTTATTTCTGATCAGAAGTGTGTTAGTAAGATGTAGTGTCCTTTTCAAATATTTACCTGTTTATTAATTCAGTTTTCTGCCATGAGCATCCTATTCCTGGAAGGTTGAAATTCAGCTGCAGTGATAGTAGTTGTACCCTGTAGTACCAGATGCATCAGTTTTGACTGCTGTATGGCTAGAAACACTCGAGTTAGATGGATGACTGCATGAGATTAAAGTACCAACTTCTCAAGAGACAGCTACCAGTTTCTACAAAAATTAAGTAATTAGCTTTTAAACTGTTGTGCTGTATCTGTGATATGAAGTGCTAAAAGTGCTCAGTTTTCTTTCTCCAGCAACTTTTCCATAAATAAACATTTATTTTCTAGAATGGAGTCTCTCCTTTGGTTTATCTTGTCTTAGGGTTGTAGCTTATCAGAGTGAAAACTGCTTAGCATGTTATGTCTAATAAATGGTGTTTATAAAGACAATAAAAAATTATATATGCATGTGTTATTTGTAGATGTACCCATTCCCAATAGCATTCACTCCTTAAATAGCTTTTTATCATCCTGTTTTTATAGCCAAGTGAAATTCTGAGTCATGCCCTATACTGGCTTTGGAGAAGCAGTTACTCAGCTCAGATCTGTTTTCTGCTTGCAGGGTCCTTCAGCTTTCGAAAAATAAACTTCAGTATAATGCAAACAAACAAAAATAAAAACCCACCAAAAAAAAAAAAAAGGAAAAAAAAAAACAACATCAGAACAAAGAAAGCCAAAGAACCCACCAAAAATACCAAACTAGCTTTCACATGCATACCTATCTATGATTCAAAGCTATGGTTTTGGCAAAGAATGAACCAGAAAAGGCCAGTTTCAATGGGATGGTTATTTTGCTGTTGCATGTTATCTGGTGTTTTTAACATACTTTAAGCTTTGATTAAAGGCATAGTTTTGCTGTCCTATCTCATGCTGGGAGGTGGGACATTCCTCCTGCTACATCATTAATGCCTTTATAGAACTCTGGATGTATAATTTTAAGCTTCAGCCTTATTGAAACCCCATTTAAAACAAGGCTAACTCTGGTCTGGTGAAGCTTATCTCACTTGACCTTCTTCCTAGACTGTGGTAGAAGCAATTCACAGCCTACAGCTAAGAGTACAGTGGCACACTACAATATTTTTACATTTGTGTGGTAATGCGAAGTCATACATACTTCCCTTACTTGCAGTCACACATTTCCACAGTCCAATCAGTATAGCTGTGTGCCTGGCTGGTTTTGTCTGAGTCACCAGAATGACCAGGTTTAAGAATCTAAGTGACCTTTTTTATTTTCGTCAAGTACTAGTGTACTTTCTATTGAATCAGACCTGGGAGGAGTGTTTTACCAGCAATAGCTGGCACTGTTTTAATGGCATTCTGATTTTAAAGCTTAGAGATGTAGAACAATGTTGGTGACAGACTTTGAGGGTACCGATATGAGCTATATGTTGGAGTCCAGTTAAGTTTCCATTTGTGTTGTTGAAAATTCTCTAGTGCTTTTAAAGCTGTAACCATACTTCTTGGTGCTGGCTTAGGAAAACTGTCCTGTAGCCTCAGTCAGACCAGTGAATGTTTGAGTAAAAAAAACCTCTTAAAAATCAGTAGTGTAAGGTTTTGCTTATCTGGAGACTGCCTTTAAGAACAGGTAGTTTTATGTGTTTAATCACAAGGACGAAAATTAAGCTTCTCTTCTACTGACTTCTGAAAGTTACATTCTTAACTTATGTTTATAATTTCCATTTGCTTTCTATTTAGGCAAGCAATCTGTGAAGTAACCACCAGACCAATCAAATATTCAGCATAGGGCTCACTTGATCACATGAACTGGATACTGCAACAGGTCAGATTTTCCCTGATCTGGCTGAGGAGGTTAACTGCAGTCTTCCAGCTTCTGCAGACATGATGCTGTGTTGGAATTAAAGCCTGAACTAAGTATCTTAGTTGGTCAGGTTTTTTCCAGTTCTGTGCTAATATCTTCCTTAAGCTCTTCTAGGAGGAATAAAGGTTCACTAGAACAGTGTCCTTATGATCTCAGTTTAGAGAAAAGGAGGCTTTCACCTTTTATAGTGTAAAATTAAGGCATAGTAAGTAAAATAAGTTTGCAGGATTTATTCACATGAAGTTATATGAATTTCTTAATGCTCTTTTTCTTTCTTTGCAGCTATTGGCTGACAAACAAGGTCCACATTAAACGACCCAGCACTGGTCTTCTCATGTATACACTTGCCACCAGATTTTGTGATGAAATTCACCTGTACGGATTTTGGCCATTCCCAAAGGATTTACATGGAAAACCTGTCAAGTATCACTATTATGATGATCTCAAGTATCGATACTTTTCTAACGCCAGTCCTCATAGGATGCCATTAGAGTTTAAAACGTTGTATGTGTTACATAATAGAGGAGCACTTAAATTAACAACAGGGAAATGCATACAGCAATAAAGCACAAGGACAATAAATACAGAATACGCACCTCATCATAAAGATGTTGTGAAATGGCAATGGGACCACAGTGGGGATTTGTTTCAATACCCAGTACGTCATTGGAAGAAGGTGTTATATCAGAAGTACATAACCAGCTATTACACTGTAAAGTGCTATATAACTAAGCTATCTTGACTTCAAGGGTTCAAGTGCCACTTTCACTAAGTACAAAACTTGAATGTATGCTCAGTAGTGTCTACAGGATGCAGTGACACATTCATCACGAATTAAAGAAGAAAAAGAGCCTGCCAATTTGCAGCTGTGGTCAGACAGCCCACACAAGAATACTCAGTGGATAGAATATTTACATGAGTAAATTAATGAGGGTTTGGCAGAAATTATCATGATGGATTTGAGTAGAGAAAGTGAAGTCTGTAAAATCAAAAAAAATCAGTAAATGCCTTCAGTCAGAGAACTCTTTCTGATACTGTATTATAACCTCAGCTTTTGTTGCTGTTTTTCTTATTGTCATTGGTTGGATTTTGTTGCTTTTAAGTTTTGGAGCCCTTACAAGATTTCAAGGATGTTATGAGTAATTAAATTTTTTATCTTACTGAATTGTCTTAAGGAAAAAATATTTGTAAGCATGGGAGGGTGGAGTGGAACATCAGATATTTTATCAAGTGTTATTTTCTTGCATCCTGCTGTCATGCAGATCTTAACATCCCAATTGTTTTTCTAGCAACTATTGTCAGAACCCATTACCTGAAACCACACAGATACCATTTTGATCTGACTTACAAGTTTTTCTCTTCTGTATAGATTCAAAGACATGCAAGATGGTGCCCTTGTTTTCAGTGCCAAAGATTACTTTTATACACATTTTTACCTTATCTTGGAGAAATGGTGTGGATTTAGGTTTCTTTGCTGCTTAAAGGAACATATTCTTTGTTATTTATATTTCTTAAGCATCTCAAATCAAATCCACTTTACAGACTTCACATATAGAATTCTTCAGAAAAATCTGCAGGAGTAAATAAATTACTTCACGCATTCAAATATATATATGTGTATGCATATATATATGTATATAGTATTATTCTTGGTGGAAAGAAAAAGTCTAAAGAAACTCAGGTGACAGTGGAACTAAAGAGAAAGAAAATACCTAGCCAACTAATGAAAAAGAAATGTAGCTCATACAGTTCTTTTAAACTTCTAATGCTGTTAAATTATCTCTTTATTTAATATACCTCTTGTATCATCTAGGTGTTCTGATGTGTAACTCACTGAAATAACATATTATCTTCACTGTTGGTTTTTTTGATCATCAGTCTCATTTAGCAAAAAAAAAAAAAAAAAAACAAACAAACAAAACAAAACAAAAACAACACAAGACAAGAGTTCTTTCACTTTCTTCTTTCCAAAAAAAAGAAAACAAGAAATTACACAAGCATAGGACAGGGTTGAGTGTCAATACAGGGTACATTAAGAAACAAAACTTTTCATCCTATGATTTAGTGCTAAAGGACCACGTAAATAGGGAACACAATGGTTTCATATCTTTCCTGTTATGCTTGGCTAAGGAGCAGGTATAATGTATGGATATTTTCTTGTTATTTTTTCAGAGCTACATTAGGTCCTGGTCTCCAGATATGATATTCAATGTATCTACGGAATTTTTAATTAGTTTGAGCAATTTCTTAAGTTTTACCACTCTCACAAACATTTTCTTCTCTTAAGTTCATGTATTTCATCATGCGTGATTGGACATCTGGGACTGTGAAAATTTGGTAGCTAAATCAGTGCCTTGCAGTCAAATATTACAGGAAGTAGGAAGTCAGTTCTGTTATATGTAAGACACAGTAACATCTTTCCTTATTCACCAGACTCTTGTACTTAGGACAGTTTAATTTGACCACATGCTAATGTGCAATAAGTGATCCTAACATGAAACTCAAGGAAACGAAGGTATCATGAGGAACTAAACAGCCATGCAGACCAGAATGTGTTTAATTGATGTTGATAAACCAGAGGGTGCTATTTGTTTACTATGTACACCTTCATTTTAATACAAGGTTTTTTCTTCAATGAAGGGCGAACATATTCCTGTTCCTGCTATTAGGGTTTTGCTGCTGTTGATCTTCTAAAGCATATTTCACATACATTAACAAAATTGCTGTTTAAATAAAGAATCCACAGATTGCCAGTCTCTCAGAAGCTCAGAGAAACATCTGCTCAGCTTTATCTTCTGGGAGTGTCTTTTCTTCTCTCTAGTGTCAGGGCACTGATAAACCTCATGCTCAAGTAGTCTAAAATATGAACTGACAGATGATTTTGTTCACCTGTGGAAAGTTTGAGTATGCCAATTGATTATGTATCTGACAGCAAAGTCAATGGGGATTCTCGTATTCCTTGGCAGTAAAAAAAATATTTTTGCAAACAAATACATGAAAAGAATATAATGTAAATAGGTAAGAGAATTTGCCTTTAAAAGGCAGCAGACAAATTAAACCTTGGTCTAAGGCCTTGGTTTTACATGCTTCACATTTGATTTTCTGCAAGTGAAGTTAACTTTAGTACAAAAGCCATGGAGTCCAGATTTTTGCCCTATCACTAAATTTCTCTGATTTGGTTTGGCACAAGACATGACAGTAGCACCTGCTTGAAAGAAACAGTTTTCCCATACCTCCTCAAAACTGGGCCTTAACCTCATCTTCTGCAGGCTTTCTACATTCAGAACTGCCCTCTTGGACACTGAGCCATAGGCTCAGGGCACTCCACTGTCATCCACACTCATCCTTCTCACAGCACTCTCCCCTTAACCAGCACCTACGTGTGCCTCCTTACCAGAGCCATGGGACTCCACACCAACAACTCTTCTCTCACCTCCCTCACTTTATCCTGAGCTGAGGTGTGATGTAGTGAGGGGTGGGTCTCAAACTATTCTCTGGGGCAAGTGACAGTTGTAGTCTTTGTGTAGGTTTTCACAAGGACTAGGGGTAATTTTATGCTATTGTTCTTGTATAAGACCTGTGTCCATGTGGAGTCCAAAGATTCTGGGAGGCTCTTTAGTATGTGGTTTGTTGTGCTACAAATTGTTTTGAGATGGTTTGTGACCACCAGTTACTGCTTGGTCTAAGGCGACCTGAGGTGAGACATGCCAGGGACTTTCCTTGTTGTTTGCGTTCTACAGCTGGGAAGCTGTAGCAATGGACTCATTGCAGACACCTTTCTTATCCTTCCCTTATACTTCCTGGGGCTCTTGGAGCATTTCTGTTAAGGCACCCCAGAACCTAAATGGAAAAACAGATTTCTTCCACTGCGTGACTTTTTCCCTAAAGGTGACCCAGGACATTGCAGCAAAGTCCTAACTGCTGTTTAGAGACTTTGAGGTGGAATAGATTTCATTTTGTGGTCCTTTACTGGTTAGCAGTCAACAGCTTAAGCCGTCATAGCTGCCTTGGATGATTTACATTGTTTATCTGTCTTCACACATCTACTGCCAACAGCACAGAGCAGATAATCAATTTATATTATAATTACCACTTTTATAATCCAATACTATCAACAACTAACACAAAGTAGTAAGATAAAAAGAAAGATCCCTTACGTTATAATGTTATCTGTGAGGAACAACTGAAATGCCAATCAGTTGTGTTCAGAGTGTTCCTCAAATTTATCCTCTCATCAGCTATATCAATTGCCTGCTGTAGTTCCTAAATGTACATTAAAAATAAGAACTGGAATCTAAATCAAGACAGCAGAATGTATCTGTTTTTCCAAAGGTTATGGCAGCTTTACATTAAACAACTTGATTTCATTTGGATAAATTGATTGTAAATTGCTTATTAACATACATGTTAATGTTTCTGTGAGAGTCCTTCATATTTCATACAAGTAATAGATAAATGTTTGATTGTTAACTTTCCAGCTTTGGGACAGTTCTCTTCCACAGTTCTGAGCCACTCTCCAGATATAAGATCTACTGAACCTTTCAAATCTGAGTCTGATGTGTAGATTCTTGTGTTAGACAATATAAGCAGCATGTTTGAGGTCAATACATTTTCTTTAATTGCAATTTGAAGATAAACAGGTGCAGGTTCAGTACCTTTTTTAGTGATTGATCTAGCAAAGTGCTAAGCACTCTTTGCAGTGACTTTCCTGGGAGAGACATGTCCAGGATCTAGATGGGGATCTAGATTAGCGTATTTCAGGATGGAACTCTGAAATTGCACATTATTTATTTTTAAGAGCACTGTTAACTTTGTGTAAGGAAAAGCACAACTGTTGTAAATGTAGATAAAGGAGAGTACTATTGCTATTGAGTGTATGTCATACAATTTCTGTTGTTTAAAGTATTGATACATATTCTCTCAGAATTATCACATTTGACACTGTAGGTCTTATTTCAAGTACAGTTATGGGGATAGTTTTTTATTTGTATAACCGAAAAATAAACATTTCCTTTCACGTTTTCTGCTATATTCTGTTCCATATTTCTTTGTAACACAGTTATGGTAATTTAATCAATTTTGTGCTAATTGTAAGAATCTGCTTCTTTAAGGTGTCTAATCAGGGACTTTCTCAACACAGAAGTGGATATTAAGAAAATGAGGAAGCCATAAACAGGAACGGAGAGACACAAACCTGTCTGACCAATAACAATAGAGGCAGAGATGAGAACCAAAACCGATGAGTCACACAAAATGACAAAGGTCAAGTGTAGGATTTTTTATTCCAGTATGAATTTCTGATCAAGGACTTTATCAAATGGGACACTAAGGAGAAGGGGAAAGCAAAGTATGTGGAGACCCAAACCTGACAGGCAAATCATAATGGAGACAAGAAGAAAAAGCCAACCTCACCAGTCACACTGAACAGTTGTCAATAAACTGTGGGCAAATGGTACTTTGCAGCTGATAAAAATGCAATCCTGGTGGACCAGGATGTTGGAGGGGAGTTAGTGGGTCTTTGCAAATGGGGCAATGTTCAAGGGAGGGAGAGGAATAGACAGAAAAGGGGCTGGTGGCTTGTGAAAACCATGGTGGGTTAGTATACTTGTCTGGCAGATTCCTGAGGCTGATTGCCGCAGTCTATCTTAAGTCCATTAAATCTTCCCTTACCTCCCTGTCTGTGTAATCTCACTGTCTGTCCCATGCATGTGCATCCTGGAAGGACTCGGTGTGAGACAGTGGGGGACTGTTGTGAGAGGATTGGGTGCCAGCTGCTGGAGTGCTGATGAGGGGTGTGGATGCCCCCAGCCTGTGGGGTTAGCTGCTAGAGTGAATGGTGGGGGTCTCAGTCACTTTCTACAACTACTGGAATTAAGGGCTTTATGCCAGAGGGGTTTGCATTGAATATTAGGAAAAAAATCTCTGAAAGGATAGTTAGGCATTTAAACAACCTACCCAGGGAAATGCTGGAGTCAGACCTGAGGGACGTGCTGTAGTGGTGGATTTGGCAATGCTGGGTTAACAGTTGTACTCAATGATTTTAGAGGTCTTTTTCAACCTTAACGATTCTGTGATTCAGTGTCATCACTAACAGGTAGTGTTGACTAACCTCCTGCTGGGGGAAGGGAATGCTGGGTGTTAACAAAACCACCTGCTGGGCAGGCTTTGCATGAGTGAGGCAATGAGGGGATCAGCGTTGGTTGCTGCAGTAGAACCACAGGTCACAGTCTATCTTTGTGGTGCCAACTGATAAGACAAAGTTTCTCTGTTCTCCCTAAACCTGGTCTAGATAGGGTGCATGTGGCCATCACCAGCAAACTTCGATCTCTACCAGCCAGCTGGTAGAGGACACATGGGGGTGATGAGGGGTCTGGGACTGGGGCAGGGGCACCAGGCAGGCAGAAGGAGCTCCATGAACATGCAGATGCTCGTGAACCTGGAGAGTGTTCCCAGAGTGTTGCACCAGGGACCTCCTGCCTACCAGCCCAGGAGGAAAAGCAGGAGCCACAGGGTACTGTGCAGTGCCAGTGCAAGCGACCAGCTGCGCCAGTCCTTTGTGTGTCATGAGGATGTGTGCTCAGTTTCACCTCTGTGTGTGCTTGAAAATGAAAAAACACTGCCCTTAGTCTGGGGTACCCCAGGCTCTGGATGTCAGCCAGGCAGGAGAGGTCCTGACCCAAATGCCCCATTAATAGAATCTATTATAAAATGTTGGAAGCAATTCACAGGAGAGCAAAACTAACTCAGTGAGACCTAGATTTAAACTCTGTATGCACTTTAGATTTTTAGACAAAATGGTAAAAAAATGGAGTGTATTTAAAGCCTTTTAAATCCATCACTATCAATAACAAATTAAAACAATAATATATTTCTAAATCTTTACGAGTCATGTTGCAAAAGGAAATACACACACCTTCATTCTGGTTATAGATACTAGAAAATATCCCCAACATTTTTGATAATGAGTTGGATATTTCTATGCTGTAATTGCAGTTTCAGTCTTGGATCTTTTGTGTCTTTGAAAATTCTGTGACTGTGTTCTTTTTCATTACACAGGCATAAAAGCAAATTCAGCAAATTTTGCTGAATTCTGCTTATGGCACTGTAATATTTATGATATTATTTTAAATTGCTATCCATTTTTATTGCAAAGTGGTGTCTTTTGGTTGCTTACTAAAGCAAATATACAATCATATAATTGTCATGGCGGGTGGTTGTCCAGAGTGCCATGACCTTCCCAAAGAATCCTTTTGAAAAAGCCACCCTGGGGGCACAGGCACCTCAGTGCTCACACTGTGAAATCACACAGTGATTTCAGCTCTTCTGTGATCTGGTCAGCGCAGAAGGAGAGACGGGGTCTGCATGTGGGGTTCCAAGGAGAGCCTTTATTGAGCTTCTTCCTCAAAGGGTGCCGAGACAAAAGAGCCACTCAGGCAGGGGGCAGCAGGGGTTTATATAGGGATCTTGAGGGGCAGGACAGAATACCAGGGCCAATGGGATGAGGGCAAATGGGTGGAGTGAGGGGGAAGGGCCAATGGTGTAGAAGAAATCAACATACAGATGCAAAGAGCTCTGGGGACAATTTTCTTGCTCTCCCTAACCGAAGGGTTGTAAGTCAGGTGTTGGCCCTACAGGGGAACAGCGCAGGCTTTCCCTTTGCCAGTTCTCCATCCCCCACATATAATTGATAGTAATTGCATTCATGAAAAATTACTGTACTGTAATGAAGACCTGCTCACACTGGCACTGTTCAGCCATGCTTTCTCCTGCCACTTTTGCAAGTGACTTCATGAACCTCTCCTTTCTGTATTCAGTTTATGCCATATCTCCTGCTTGTTCCTTGTATCCCCAAATAAATGCACGAATCAATGAGATGTTTTCACCCTTTTCTTACTGCAAAACTTTAAAGATTTTTGATGAGATTCAAGTGCTGCCTTAAGAAACCTGATTGACAAGATGAAAAACTGCTTTTAAAAGGAGTACTCCCAAAAGGAGTAATGCACAAAGCAGGTAATTTCCACTTCTGGTTAAGTTGGCCCTTTACGGCACTCAGGTGGTAACAAAGCTAGCCAACTGCACAGGTAGCTGGTCAGCCATAGAGCACTGAACAACTGTTTGGACGACACCTCTGAGGATCCTTTAGTCCAATTCCAGATCCAGAGATGGATCCTCTGCAACTTCTCTATGCAGCCCATTCCAGTGCTGTATCAACCTCAAAGTGAAAGCTTTTCCTGATACTGAGATGGAACGTCTGTGTTTCAGTTTGTTCTGTTGCCCCTTGCAGAGGCTGTGGTCCCAAAGTAAAAGAATACTTATTTCCTGGAAACTAAACTGTATTCCAAGGGAAGTGCAATGAGAAACATAAAACAACAAAAATTAACAAGAAGGATCCACTCTACAAAGGAGACATTGCTTGAGTCTCAGTGCTCTTTTATTGTTTTAGAGGAAACAGCTGCTAGAACAGAAGCCAACAGAGATATTTCAGGCAGTGGTTCTTCTTCCAGTGCTTCTGACTTGATTTTCCTCTGTATGTTTCATCCATGTAGTAAGCAGAAGAGTGAGTCTTGCCATCCAACTCTTTTTCCTGCCTATTTACATCAAATCTGGTTTTGCTATTAAGTTTGATGGTGATTCTTTAAGCAACCTAAACTACTCATTGACAGCATACTGTGGCAATTATATTAATGTGTGAATAACATACAGTGAACAATCATGAGTACACTGAAGTAGAAATTCAATACCTGCCTTTAAGCACAGTCTCCATATAAGGGAAAACAAAAGACATTCCTGGAATGTCCTTGCCAAAAAAACACCTGTTGACTCACAAGGATGCTATCAAGGAATGAAGACCCAGACCTATGTAACACAGGAAAAGTTATTAGTTGCAGTGTCAGAATGGGCATGGACAGTCAGCCAGGGATATCTGATAATATGTTCTGTACGTGAAATAAACCCTTCCAAATAGTCACCATCCTTACGTGATAGGTAGCTCCAAAAATACTTTTAAGAAATGTAAGATTTTTGTAGTAGGTCTTGCCTCAAATTAGTAAACAATCAGCAGCTCCCAGTGTTCTGCTACCTGGTGAAAGCAGCACAGGGCATGGTTTGTGTGGCTGGGGGCTGGCTGGTTGTGCCAGGGTCCCGGAAAGATGCGGGGTTGCTGGAGGTACTTGGCAGCCTAGCAGCAGTGCTTAGGATTTGCCAGTCTAGCAGGGTAGCCTCGGCCCCAGCAAGTAAAAGCCCGAAAGACTTTGCCTTAACTTTTTTATACTTTTTGATTTACAGAAATTAGTCCACTACTTCTTTAGTTTAAAGAGGTAAAAAGTTTCTGCTTGGAGTGCTATATGAACGTGTGAGCATTGAAGGGATGCCTTAGATAGCCGAATCTAGAGAAAAAGGCAGAAGATAGAATTAACTTTGGGAGATTATTGTTTGCAAAGCAACCAGGTAAGCCTTAAGCACTGCTCCCACCCTTGCCAGCACAGGCAGGATCTGTGTGGGATCTTTGTACACTGGCTTGAAGAATAGGAGATGATGTGCAGAAGCTATTTATATTACCAGAATATAGACAGGGGCTTTGAGCTGAAAAGAAGGTGTTATTTTTGAGGAAAAATTGTATTTCTGTGGCAGATGATAATAAATAGAAAATCAGTCTTACTCCCCTAGGTACTTTCTAAGCAGATCCTGTATATCATGAAATTATGACGATGGGTAGGTCTCACTTCTACAATGTACCCTGCAATGACATTTTACGAGATCTTCTACCGTGCTTAAAAGCTTTCAGGACCAAGGGGATTAAATTTGTAATATGGAAAATGTTCACAACGAGAATGAACTGCCCTAAAACATGGACTGGAAATATAGGACACTTGAGGAATGACATAATTGCAGCCCACTTTGTGTGTATCCAGAATCTGAGGCAAATTTGAGCCTAAACATATTTTATTGCATCTTTTATTGCAGCTTAAATCCATTGCTACACCAGTATCTTCTGCCTCTTAGGATAATTCATTAACTTTGTATTGACAT